ATATTTTTTGCTTTATGTCCCGATAATGTGACAGAGGCTTACCTTGCCTCCCAGGCTGGCCTCCATCTCACCATTTTACTATCTCAACTCTTCTGAGTGCTAGAGTTTAAGGCATGTGTCACCCTATTGAGGTCTACATGCCAGATGAAGTGTTTTAGCTCCTAAATATTTAGATATTTTCTTCTTATTTTCCTATTTAGATTTCTAGTTCAATTACCTTGTGTCATAGGGCACATTCTCTATGGTCAAAGAGCTTTCAGATTAGTTGAGTTTTACTCTAGTGGCAACAACAATGTCTATCTTGATATATGTTCTGAGAGTACTCAAAAGATAATGTGCATTCTCCTGATTAGTAGAGTGTTTGATGAATATTGATTAGCTCATATTAGTTGATAGATCTATTGATTTCTGCCTTGATGAGTCTATGCTAGAGAGAATCTAATTGTCTGTTTGAGAAAGAAATATTTGTGTAATTCATTGTTTCCTTTCCAGGTTTCTCTGTATATCATATTTTTCATACGTTCAGCGTGTGTAGATTTAGTATTGCTATTCATTTTATTTTATTTGCACTTTATTGTTATATACTCAACATTGGATGACTCGGTGCTCTACTATCTGTTTTCATATTATGCCAGTGAGGAGAGACCCTTCATAATGTTTGGGTAATGGTGTGAATCTGAGCTTTCTGTGTATACTTCACCAGCAGGAGGGGCAATGCTGCCTGATGGGGCTAAATCTGTTCATATTGAGTAGTAGTTTATGATCCATTTTCATATATAGATTGCTTACAATTCTTTTTCCTGCTGCACTGTTTCTTTCATTTTCCTTTGCTTGGAGTTATCAGGCTTTTGAGTGTGTGTGTGTGTGTGTGTGTGTGTGTGTGTGTGTGTGTGTGTGCGTGTGTTGCTATTTTTAGATAGCTCTTTTGTTCAGCTGCAGTTATGGAACCTACAAAGGAAAAAAAGAAAAGAAAATTGAGTGTCCTCTGCCTCATAGCTTTCCTTGGGTCCTGAGATCCTGGCTTTTGATTTTTTTTTCTTATTTTTCACGTACAGATAATGTGTAGAGTTTTAGTTATACTTACTAGGAGGAATATAGAAGACTGCAGCTGTTACATCTTCCTAGAGGTCTATTTGACTTTTAAATATATCTCCACATTAAAATCATGGGGTGAACTTAACTTAGTTCTGAAGCCCTGTTTCTTCTATTGGCTTTAGGGTTGACTCGATATTTCCTTAGAAAGTAGAATGATTCTAAATTTGTTGTAGCCTTAAAAAGCAGTTGAGAATATCTCTTTTTTTTTGTTTTAACTTTGCATCAAATGGCATTTTACTTGTAAAGATCCTGAATCAAGAATATTTGTACAATATACATTTTTTAAATATAATTTTTTATTGAAAAAAAAGATTTCCGCCTCCTCCCTGCCTCCCATTTCCCTCCCCCGTCTCCCTTTTCCCCCCTCCTCCCTCTCCTCTCCCCCTCCCCCCACTCCTCTCCCCCTCCCTCTCCAGTATGAGGGGCAGTCAGAGTTCCCTGCCCTGTGGAAAGTCCAAAGTCCTCCCCGCTCCATCATGGTCTAGGAAGGTGAACATCCAAACTGGCTAGGCTCCCAAAAAGCCAGAACATGAAGTAGGATCAAAACCCAGTGACATTGACCTTGGCTTCTCAGCAGCCCTCATTGTCCGCCATATTCAGAGAGTCCGGTTTTATCCCATGGTTTTTCAGTCGTAGTCCAGCTGGCCTTGGTGAGCTCACAATAGATCAGCCCCACTGTCTCCGTGGGTGGGTGCACCCCTCGTGGTCCTGACTTCTTTGCTCATATTTTCCCTCCTTCTGCTCCTCCTTGGGACATTGGGAGCTCAGTCCGGTGCTCCAGTGTGGGTCTCTGTCTCTATCTCCATCCATCTCCAGATGAAGGTTCTATGGTGATATGCAAGATATTCATCAGTATGGCTATAGGATAGGGTCATTTCAGGTTCTCTGTCCTCAGCTGCCCCAGGAACTAACTGCGGACATCGCCCTGGGCACCTGGGAGCACCAAATCTCTTGCCAACCCTAAGATGGCTCCCTTAATTAAGATGTGTGCTTCCCTGCTCCCCTATCCGACCTTCCTTTAGCCCAAACATCCCGTTTCCCAAGTTCCCCCCAACCTCCCCTTCTCACTTTTCTCTCCCCATCTCCCCTTACCTCCCTCCCACCCCTCCCCCAAGATCCCATTTTTTGCCCGGCAATCTTGTCTACTTCCCATAATCAGGAGGATAGCTATATGTTTTTCTTTGGGATAACCTTCTTATTTAGCTTCTTTAGGAGATCAAATTATAGACTCACTGACCTTTATTTATCTCTAGAAACCAATTATGAGTGAGTACATCCCATGTTCATCTTTTTGGGTCTGGGTTACCTCACTCAGGATAGTGTGTTCTATTTCCATCCATTTGCATGCAAAATTCGAGAAGTCATTGTTTTTTACCGCTGAGTAGTATTCTAATGTGTATATATTCCACACTTTCTTCATCCATTCTTCCATTGAAGGACATCTAGGTTGTTTCCAGGTTCTGGCTATTACAAATAATGCTGCTATGAACATAGTTGAACAAATGCCCCTGTCAGTAAGAATTATTCACATTTTTATTTGCTCTTCATAGGTTGCAAAATATCCCTTATTTTTTCTTTTTTTGGTTTTTTGAGAGAGAGTTTCTCTGTAGCTTTGGAGCCTGTCCTGGAACTAGGTCTTGTAGACCACATTGGCCTCGAACTCACAGAAATCTGCCTGCCTCTGCCTCCCAAGTGCTGGGATAAAAGGCATGCACCACACTGCCTAGCTACAAATAATATTTTTTTATAATTTTCCTTTTAGTGTATTTCAGATTTATTTATATAAACATTCATTATATTTTTTTATAAATGTATGATCTCCATACTGTTTTTTTTCTTAATTCTCCAAACTGGTGATTTGTATATTCACAATAAAAGTTTTGATTATTTCATTCTTTTTCTGTTGTCATTTTAGAGACCACCTTTAGTTATTTAGATTAACTTTAACAATTGTCCCTAACTTAGAGAAGCTTGGCTTATGTTATTTTTACTTAATAACGGTACCAACATGTGTTTTGTCATTTGATCCGTTTTCTGGAGGGTGCTTTGTGCTTGAGATGCTGGGCATTGGCAGCAAATGCAGCTGATGGTCACTGTTACATGTATCCATTGCTAAATATCTCCGTTATCCAGCAAGTAATTTAATTCAGTGCTTCACACACTTATTTCAGGCCAATGTGTTCTCAGTTGGTATAGTCATGGGGAGTTTTCATGCAGCCATTCTGATGTCTATTTACAGTACAATACTTAACAATAAGCATGATATGCTAAATATTTTGTTATAAGATAGGCATCCTGCTAGATGATTTTACCTACCTGTATCCTACTGTAACTTTACTGTGTGCTTCATGTGGTCTAGGATATTTGGCAATTAGGTGTGCCAAATGTGGTTTTTATTTATTTTAAACTAACAATGGAATTATCAGGTCATAAGCTTATCACAATTGATGGAACATCTGTATTCAAATGTTTAATGTGGGGTAGAGAGATTGTGAGATGTAAAGTTGCTTGCTGTCAAGCTGAGGACCTGAGTTTGATGCTCAGGACTCAGATTTTGGCAGGAAAGAACAGTCTCTTAAACATTGAACTCTGGCTTCCTAATATAGATAGTGTCATAGATAAGTGCACACGCACACACACACACACACAGACACACACATACAAATGTAAAAATCATTCTTTGAAAATTGTGTTCATTTTAATAGTTTTTTAATTTTTACATTTGCTACTTTTGTTATTTTATTTGCTTGGACATTTCATTTATTTTGTTGAGATAAGTATTCTATGAATAAATTTCAGGCTATTATTTTTAATGTATTCATTTAAAGTTATAAATATCATTATAATCAATCAGATCTCTACAAGTTCATCACAAGTCTTAACATGCTTCTCGTTCATTATTATTCTGCTTAAGCTTAACAAAGTTAACTTTCTAATTTCTTTTAGATATCCTTTTCACTCTTGGGTTATTTTGAAATTCATTATTTTTCAAGCAATTTGAATTTTCTCAATATATTTTAGATATTTATTCAGACTCCTTTTCACTGTGGTCAAAAAAGAGCCATTCTAAATTAGGCAATTCTTTTTCCCTCCCTCCCTCCCTCCCTTTCTCTATCTCTATCTCCCTCTCTGAAGTATGTGATCTGCTTTTTGATTTTGATTTTACAGGTGGTTATAGTAAGGAGATTGCCATGAGTCCCAGAAGAGACTGAACTTTGGACTTTTAAACAGTGTCGAGACTGTGATAAGCTATAGGGACTTTTGAATTTGACTGAATGAATTTTTGCAGTGTGGCATGGGGATAAGTCTATGGGAACCAGGTAGTGAAATGTGATGGTTTGAATGAATATAATCTCCATTGGCTCACATATTTGACTGCTTAGTTTTGTTCCATGTTAGCTTTGCATTTTAGTTTTTATAATCTGCATTTCAGTTTTTATAAGTATAAGCAGCAGATTGTAGATTCTTTGATACAGATGTTACAAGCATTTAAATCAGTTTCAATTTCCCTGAAGACAACTGAAATCAGGGTATAAACTAATATCAAAATAGTACCAAAAATAGTGTGAATATTGGATTGTGAATCAAATTAACTAATGTAATTTGTAAAAAATTGTAGTTAACCATTTTCACTTTGTATATTATATTTTTATTAAAAGTTTATGTGACAAAGTAAGCACAAATCCTAAAAGCTTTAAATAGCATAGTTTTGGTGATATCTAATTGAGAATGGCAATATTTGAAAAGGATTAGGAGGTATGGTCTTACTGGAGAAAGTGTATCATTTAGGGTAAACTTTGAGGTTTCAAAAGCCCACACTAGGCCCAATGTTTTGCTCTTTCTACCTATGACAGGAAATAGCTCATAGCTACTGCTCCAGCACCTGCCTGCATGCTTGCATGTTCCCCATTATGATGATAATGAACTACACCTCTGAAAATATAAGCAAATCCACAATTGGATGATTTTTCATAAGCATTACCTTGACCATGGTATCTTTTGACAGCAATAGAACTAAGACACATTCTCTTTCATTACTAATAGCTTTCTGGCTCAGTGGAATAAACATTTTAATATATTTGCAATCAATGAGTTGAAATTTTGAGAAGTGAAAGAAGAGAGACACATTGCTCCATGATGGAATATAGAAGCTTCAGGCAGTATAAAACAAATAAATAGAACAATGGAAATAAGTTTGTACTCCTGAAGGTATCTTACAGTGGGGCCAGAGAGATGGTTCAATAAGATCACTTCTTGTGCAAGAATAAAGCTCTGTCTTCAAATCCCAAGAATCCACATAAAAAGCCAGGCATGGCCATGTTCACTTGAACTCTAACACTGTAGGGGAAGATAGATGCAGGAGGAGTAATGGCCATTCCAGTTACCAGCTTAGATCCATGTTCCTTGAGAGACGCTGTCTTAAGGAATTAAGACAGAATGACAGAGGAGGACACTTCATCTGACATCCTCCTGTAGCCTCCATGCTTGCTCTTAATACACATGCAGCATAAATAATTATATATAATATGTACATAGTACATATGTACTTGTATACATATGTTTGTATGTATACATACAAACAAAATAAAAATGATGTCCTACATAGAAGAAAGTCTTCAGAAATCTTCTCCTTTCTAGAATTTAAGCTCTGCACTTGACTTCAGTGTTTGCTTGCTATTTCGAGTCTTCAGTTGGTTTTTAGATTTTTTTCATGCTTTTCTCTACTGGCCTAGACTGTGATTGATATACTGGTAGACCATGATGTACCCAATACGCCACTATGTTTTTGATCTGAAAGAAAAAGATAGACTTCTGAAAAATTTTGTGGTTGTCTGGAATATGATAGCAACACACCATGTAGTAACACACCAATTCACTACTGGGTTGCTGTGCTATATTTACCAGTTAGTTTGGGTACCTTGACAAAAAGTAGAGTCATTTTAAAAGAGGAAAGCAAAATTAAGAGAATGTCTCCATCAGATTGGCCTGTAGGCAAATCTGTGTAGGATTAGTTTGTGATGTGAGAGGGCAAAGACCATCCTTGGTGGTGCCAACTTTGGGTAGGTAGCCCTGGAGTGCATAAGTCATTAGACTGAGAAGTCAGTGAGCACTGCCCCTGTGTTACCTATGTGTTAGTTCCTGCCTCCAGGTTCATTCCTTGAGTCTCTGCCCCAATTTTTCTTTATGGTGAACTATAAACAGTAAGCCAAATAAACCGTTTCCTCCCCAAGTTTATTTTCATCATAATGTTTAATTCCAACAGTAGAAAGCAATCTAAGACAGACATTGGTACTGAATCATGAAGTATTGCTGCGATAGACCAGCCTATGTCGTTTTGTGGAGGATTATGCAAGGAATTTGGAACTTCAGGTTGGAGAGGCCATTGAGTATTCAGAGCTAAGTGGGGTGTTCTGTGGGAGAACAGAGGAGAAGAGTATTCAAAGAAATGCAGAATTGGAGGCCTAGCTTGTGAAGTTTTAGAAAGAAGCAAATACTATCTGGGCAATTCATACTGGAAGGATCTGAGAATTGCTGAATAAGACCCCAGACTCAAAGAGTATACAAACACACAGAGTGTTTGTTCTTCAGAATCAACCAGCATGTGGGCTCAACTAATTGTACAAAATGGGGACCATGAAAGGTGCAGGTGAACTCTTTTTAAACATAACTAGGGGGAGTCCAGGAACAGTTAGTTCATCTAAAACATGATTAGTTAAATATGCAGAATTTATATTAGTACATTTTTTATTGTCTGAGGTTTTAGTTTTAGTATTTAGTATTTATTTGAGTAGCATAGGGTTCTCATTGCTGTATCGACTGTTCTCAGTTGAACAATAGTAGAATTTGGGCTAGCCAAGGGACATCATTTTCTGTGCCCTTGAAGAGCTCAAATATGTCTTTAATTTCACTGGACTTTTTAATCTCCCTTTCCCCTGAGTACTTAATTTCTTTTTATTTTCTACAGGAAATTAAATGAGTTTTAAGTTTGTTATTTTACTCTTTCTATTTTTATTCTTTTTTTCTCATTTTGTCATCTCTTACATAACCAAATTATAAGCAAAGATTTTTATAGTTTAATTTCTTAGTAGAGAATTTATTGTTGTAATTACTTAGTGGTTATCACAGTAATTTCAACATGTACCTTTAGTATAATACAGGATATGGTTATGGCTTTGCCACTTGGCAGCAAGTTTTGAGATGTTTAAACACTTAGATGGGATTTAATTAATCTCATTGTTTAGATAGTTTCTATTTACAATTTTAATTTTATAAACCAGATAGTTACTATATTACCTAATATAATGGATTCCAGTAAAAATGCATTTATTCAGTAGTTCTCAACCTTCTTTACACAGTGATACTTTAATATAATTCCTTATTTTGTGGTTACCCCCAACCGTAAAATTATTTTCATTTCTAATTAATAACTATAATTT